GAGGGTAGTGCTGGATGGATAGCTCCAGATTTTATTATTAGCTTATTGTTGAAAAAATATACGATCATGGCTCTCCACAATTTCCTATCGTTTGTAGCTCTTAGTAAGATTTGTTTTGTTTGCTTCATGTCTCGCACCTCCTGTCTGTGGAATTCCCTTTCTATTACTTGCTTCCCTGATAGCTATAATCTCCAACTATTCAAATGTAATATCAATCAACATCTCCAGATGCCTTGATCTATTCCCTGTCCTTCTCTTCATCCTTTCCTCTATCACGCCTATTTACTCTCACTCCCACTCTCTGTAACCCCTTGTGGGCTAATGGCATCCCACCTTGCTTAGGATTAAATGTTTAAAAAATAAATGTGAATAATAATAATAAAATATATTATTAAACAAGTACAATTTTTTTTTTTTTAAATCATTTTACTGCAAACAAGTTGCAAAAAATCAACTAAGAAAGAAACAGATATGACAATAAAAAAAAAAAAAAACAAGATATTTGTAATGACAAAAATCAGCAACATGACTGATTCAGGATAACTGCCAAAACAGGAAAGACATATGGAAAACATCATCAAAAGTGCCACTGAAGGAGGGTAGTGCTGGATGGATAGCTCCAGATTTTATTATTAGCTTATTGTTGAAAAAATATGTGATCATGGCTCTCCACAATTTCCTATCTTTTGTAGCTCTTAGTAAGATTTGTTTTGTATGCTATCTTTTCTAATCCCTGTTCTGCAAACCATCTACACAAGCTCGTTAGGTAAGTTATACGGCTTTTCTATGTTGCTCTTACCTTTTAGCTATCCTGTGAGTAGCAAATTTTCTAGTCCTCTTTTCCCATTATGTGTGCAAAAAATATCAATTATCTCTTTCTGATTCTAAGTATAAGGTCCTTTTTCCCCCATTTTCCTTAAAACATCCTTATTGCTCACATGTTCAGTTTATGGCATTTTTCAGCATCCTTCTGTAGAACCACATTTCTGTTACCTTAAGTCTCCAACATTCACTGCGATATACGAGGACTCATGCTAAATAAGAGTTTGGTACTCCTTTCTTTGTTTCTAATGAGATTTTTCTTTTTCTTCATACTTTGCTTAGTTTTTTAAGGAGTTTTTCACTATTCAAACTGCTATCTATTGAATTTATAATGGGTTAATATGCAGTGATATACAGATTCTTCCAACACTTTCTATTTTTGGGTTGAATCCTATGGTGTTATGTGCCTATGTGGCCCAGAACAGCTTTCCTTCAGCTAGCAGAAATATGATGTGTATATAAGTTGCTATGCTTCTGAGAACTTCCTCTATAAAAAAAATGCTTTATCTGCGAGACTTTACACTAACTGCTCTTCATGCTTAACTGTATATAAGTATAATTCTTTTATTACCAAGAATTGCAAAGAATTGAGTAGAGGCTAAGAAAATTTGTTGTCACTTGATCTCTATAATATCCATATCTTTAAAGTGAATAATAATAATAATAACATGTATCTATAATATAATATCATTAACGTGAAAAGGCGATTATAATGGAAAAGTAAAACAGATTCGAAATGTAATAGCAATAATAAATCTCATATAAATTGCAATAGCAATTAATATATATATATATATATATATATATTAAAAAGAAGAGAGGTGCCGCAAACGTTTTTGGTCGTAATGTGGATTTTTTTTAGAAAAAAATATAATGCTTTATTTTTCATAATTTTACTACACATTTCTGGTCTCGTAACTGTCTGAAATTTGAAATATTTTATGAACCTTTTGATTCATATTGAATAAGAAAGAATTAGGGTATTGGAGGAGTTTGAAAGTATTTTCAATGTATTTCCTCTTTTCATGTAAATATTGAAGGTTAAAAATTCTAAATGCTCTTAAATAGAATCCAATGATTATTCTGGATTTTTTATTTTGTTGTTATGATGGGAATATAAATTTATGAGATCATTTTTATTAGTTGATTTGTGAGGCACACTTAGTTTTAGGCTATTGTCATTATGATGTATCATGATACCTAGAAAAGGTAAGGTATTGTTTGTTTCTGTTTCATAAGTGAGTCCTATTATATGTTCAAGTTTGTTTAGCTTATCTACAAGGTCAGTAGTTTAGCATGGATATATTAATAGTGTCATCAGTATATCAGAGATATATTGCTTAGGTGTTATGGTAATTTACCCATGCATGCATGGACTCTCCCATCTATAAATAGAAGCAGGTACTGCCTTTTGGAGAGGGAAGTTTCCAGCAGTCAGCTCTGACAGTTGAACCGAACATTCTTGCTGTAGCATTCTCATTTGTATATGTTTGTATTACTGTTTCTGTTTATATATTTGTTTGACTTAATTCCTCTCTTTGTGTCTTTATTTCTGGCCCTCACAAGGCCACAACATTAGGTAAAATATTTTGGAAAGGACAAGGTTCAAGAAATTCTACCAACTTTGAGCAAATGAACTCTGTAAGTCTTAGAGAGGACCATACTTCTTTGAACCACATGGACTGGTGCTAAAGAATCATAGACCTGTACTAAATTGCAGAAACTGCATCACATGAGGACTGTCAACAGTAGCAACAACTAAAATAGATAGTACTTGTAACTAGAAGAGAAAATAATGACTTAATCAAGATGTTGACATTTTACACCACTTCAAAGAAAAAGTTAGGGAGGGAGCCCCCATCAATACTGGAAAGAGCGATAACGGTTAGTGGACTTGAGGAACCTATTTTCCTAAATAATAGTTTCAATAGAAAGAGTTCATAAATTTAAACCAAATGTAGCACTGGCTGCTCAGTCTCTGAATGTCTGAATTTTTTCTTATAAGCAAATGGCTAATTACCATTACTATATGAGATGAAGATAACAGATGCTACACTTTGATCCCAACCTGATAACCAGAAAGTGAACAATAGCATAACTTGAGTAGCACTTCCTCCTTGGTCAATGAATGCTGAATGCCTCCTTTTAAGGAAACAGTTAATATTACCATTATCATATGTATATTCATGTCTGAGGATGTGATATTCTAAATATAGATGGCATGATTCATTTGCTTTGACACAGTATCATCTACTTTGCCGGTTTGCTAAATGATTGATTCAAAGTTTCATCATAGGGCACTCTATGACTGGCCTTGTACCAAATTTGACCGAGTCCTAGAAATATCAGTGACATGGATCAAGCAATAAAGATAGAACCACCTCTACCAGTTTCTGTATTCTATTCCATTTAATACCATTGGGCAACTCTGCCCCCACACATCCATTTCGGCTCAGTGACTGTTGGAAATGAAATCCAGCAGAAAAGAAAAGACCAGATGTTCTTTGCTTTTCCTGTCACCAAACGAGGCCCTGCCCGTTGCTTAATACCCTTTTCTGACAGGGGTTGGTAGGTGTTTCTGTTGACTCCCTCAAATGTGACAAGAAGGAAAGGTAATGGGCCATCAGCCAAGGGTACTTTTGGTGTGGCAGTGATGGAAGGCCAAGTGTAAGAAAGATAGAGAAGGAAAAAAAAAGCAAACAAAAGAAAATAAAGATAGAAAGAAAAGAAAATAGAAAAAAAAGATGGAAATAGGAGGGAGGATCAATAAATCTATAGTCTGACACATGCTTACTAGCTAAATTTTGATCTGAAATTTTCACTGTATAATGCTTGATCAACACTACTTAAATAGACTAGTCCAATCATAAAAAATAGGTGAAATTCTTTTTAGAAATATTTTTTGTAGATTAGCATTCTTTGAACTTTCCTTAGGCCATGACACTTGTTAGAATAAAAAAAATTCTTTGCTTGTCATTTTAAAAATGGGGGTTCTGTTCATAATATCAATATAGTGTAAAATTGATCCCCGACTTTTACAGAATTACTGGAATCAGCTGTTTGCTTACAAATGTCAAGTTTGACAGTGTGGTAACTGTAGTATCATATGTAAATTAGATAGATAAGTATAAGTAAAGAACAACTGGCAAACATAGGGTCTATACCTAGCAAACCCAGTTGTTACTCAAGACATGTAGAACTGTACTATGACTACTACTATGCAGAGAGATATGCAAAACATAATATTGATATTTATATATTTTTTTAAGTTTTTAAACTGAAAATTTATTTTTTTTTATAACTTTTAAAATAAAGAACAGTTATTTGCATTTTCAATTAAATAATAAATGGTTACATTAATTAATAAAATTATGTATGCATTTATTTTTTATTTAAGATAAATAATTATTAACAACAAACATTTTGTACATGTGGTTAAAAATCACCTCACTCCCCAAAAAAAAAACTCATGCAAAAAAAGTGGTAGGTTAATTTTATTCTGAGAAAATTATGCTTTGAAGAATATGGCAGATTGTCATGAGATATGCATACTTGAATCTTCTATGTGCTTTAAATATGTGAGCGATCCTGGTTATCTATAACTTCCTGTTCTTTGTGGCACTTAGTAAGGTGTTTTTTTTGCTATCTCTCCTAATCCCTGTTCTGACAACCAATTACACAAGCTCATTAGGTAGGTTATTTGCTGTTTTTCTCCTTCTCTGTTGTTTTCAACATGTCTTGTGAATGTCAAATTCTTCACTACTCTTTCCTCAATATGTGCCCTAGAAATTTAAAATTGTTTCTTTCTTATTCTATGTATAAATGTTTTTTTTATTGTCTGTTAAGAAGGATTTCTCAGAGAAAAACTGAAACTTGAATACATCATAGTTAAGTGTGAACAATTAATAGATCTGTAAATAGTTAGGTCATTTTTAAGTAGAGCCTTTTGATCTATTATTCAACAGTGAATTAAAGTATATTGACAAAGAAGCAAATTAAGTTAAAAAATAAATATTTGTTATGCAAAATAAACACTTTTTCAATCATTGGGCTACAGTAAAAAGAGATGAAGAGAAAGAAAAATGAGATAAAGAAAAGATCAAAGAAAAAGATAAAAAGGAGCAGATGGACAATAAAAGAAAAACCAATAAATAAATATGTGAAAGAAAGAAAAGAAACTATGTGACAGAACATAAAGTATGTGAGAGATAGAAAGGAAAGTATGCGAGAGATAGAAAGGAAAGTATGTGAGAGATAGAAAGGAAAGTATGCGAGAGATAGAAAGGAAAGTATGCGAGAGATAGAAAGGAAAGTATGTGAGAGATAAAAAGGAAAGTATGTGAGAGATAGAAAAGAAAGTATGCAAGACACAAAAAAGAAAATATGCAAGAAACAGAAACTACGCAAGACACAGAAAAGAAATTACATGAGACAGAAAAAAAAGTATGTGAGAGATAAAAAAGAAAGTGCATGAGAGACAGAAAAAAGTATGTGAGTAGCAGAAAAGAAAATATACACGACACAAAAAGAAAATATGTAAGGAACAGAAAAGGAGAACACTGGACACAGAAAAGAAAGTACGCTGGACACAGAAAAGAAAGTACGCTGGACACAGAAAAGAAACTACATGAGAGATAAAAATGAAAGTATGTGAGAGATAGAAATGAATGTATTTCAGAGAAAGAAAAGAAAGTACATGAGACAGAAAAGAAAGTGCATGGGAGACAGAAAAAAGCATGTGAGTAACAGAAAAGAAAGTATACAAGACACAAAAAGAAAATATGTAAGGAACAGAAAAGGAGTACACTGGACACAGAAAAGAAAGTATGCTGGACACAGAAAAGAAAGTACACTGGACACAGAAAAGAAAGTACGCTGGACACAGAAAAGAAAGTACGCTGGACACAGAAAAGAAAGTACGCTGGACACAGAAAAGAAACTACATGAGAGATAAAAATGAATGTATTTGAGAGAAGAAAGCACATGAAAGACAGAAAGAAAGGACGACTCAAGAAGGAATTAACAATGAAGAAAAATTGGAAAGAATGGAAAAACTAATGAAAAAACCAAAATGTTTTTAACAGGAGAAAAGATTCAGGATTGGGTTTTTACAGTTCCTTTTAAAGCCATCTCATTTTCTTTCACTCTTAGTAACCCCTTACGTCTTAGTGGCATTATCACCTTGCCTGGGATGAATTGATTAAAAAAAAAAAGGAAAAAAAATAATGGAACAAAAGAAAGTGGAAACATGGAAGAATTCTGACCAACAACAACAATAAAACATCATTAGATGTGAAAAACTATTTAGCCATTCCTAGTGGAAGTTTTGTAATTGTAGTTGGGTTTAACTTAAAATTCATTATAAGAAAAAATGTAAAGTTGAACACTTCAAACAATTATTTTCCAGGCATTATTTTCTCTTTCACTGTACTTTTGTTTTGTACATAATTACCACCCTTTAAAAAATACATAAAATCCTGAAAGAATAAATCTCACATTGTTACATGCACATGTCTTACCAAGACACCCCAGACCTCAAACTCTTCACTATTTTTATTTAAAAAGATCTATATTCTCTTTTTTTTTTTAGGACCTTTTGCTCAATTATGGACTTTTTTTAGAAAAATATCTCATAATCTAACATCATTTTTGATACCTTCTTTCATAGTAACTGGAGCCGCACAGTCTACAATTTCCAGTCTTGATAGCATCCAGAATCCCAGAAGTATACTTTTCTGACAACAACAATTTTAACTTTGTCAAGACTGGGATTAACTGTTATTTTTTTCCACATATCTGTATAAACAGCAAAACTTACACTTACCACTTACATAACAACTACCTTCAGTAACCCTCTACCTGGAGTGGCTTTTGGGTCTTCTATCGGGTGAACATTAGTAAAAAAAATTCCAACATCAATCTAGATGTTCTTATTAAATATGTACATGGTGTAACTATCTATTGCTAATTTTGAGATAATGCCCATTTGTCACTTTTCTTGTTAAATCAGCAAACAAAGTGATGTCACCGGACAAAAGTAAAGTTCAAAAAGATGAAACATTCTTTTATTGTTGTCAACTGGCTTTGTCTTGTCTTCTAATCTTCGTTCAAGTTTCTGTCATCTGGTGCACAAAATAAGATGTACCTGAGAGAAATCACCTTGTAGTCAGGCACGCTTTTACCTTATCAGTCACAGAGGCATCTACAGCAAAAGCAAGACTTTCTAGTCCAGTAGATATCAATTTCACTGTTTACAAAAACAAACAAAAAACTTGAAGAATAAAGATAAATCTAGGAAGTTGTAAAGAGCCATAATCACTAGAAAAACATGTCATATAGAAGTACATCATAAGAATTGCTTCAACATAAAGGCACATTGTAAATCAGTGTGATTTCCCATCTTCAGCATGACTTCTTGTTTCCAAGCAGGTTTGTCTCCTCAGGCCATTTGTGATTCTTCAACACCCACGCAGCCAATCTATGATTTATACTGCAACTATTCTGAGTGGACCTTAGTTACAGATCAAATATGTTTCCCACCAGGGTCTCATATGGTTTTTGAATTCAGAGTAATCATTCTTCTATACAGGTTGCCAACCATGGCTATAGAGCCCAGCCTGCCTTGTTATCCATACCTATCCCAAGAGTATTTGTGCGAAAGTGAATGCAACAATCTTG